ACTACGACTACTACTACTACTACTACTACGACGACGACGACGACGACGACGACGACGACGACGACGACGACGACGACGACGACGACGACGACTACTACTACTACTACTACTACTACTACTGCGACTACTACTACTACTACATCTACTACTACTAAGGCTGCACCCCCCCCCCCTCAGGCCCTACCAACAAGCTGATTGAATCGGATTGAATTCAATCCTAGGGCCTTCCGAGATGATGATTAAATCGGGTGGAATCCAGGACGTAGCCTGAGCCAGCTGCGTCACATAGGAATCGTCTATTTGTCCTTGCCTCCTAAAAGGCCCAACTCCCTAAAATCGCGCAAGACCACCCCCATGGTCTCGAAGCGATCCTGGCGCGCCAACCACATGTGCCATTGCACCTGCCGCACCGTCGGCGAGTGCCATGATGATGATGCGAATGTTGAGTATGATGATGGCGAGTGTGACCATGATGATGATGGTGATGCTCATCAGGCTGATGATGATGATGATGATGATGATGATGGTGATGATGATGATGATAAGGGCGATGATGATGATGGTGGTGGCGATGATGACGATGGTGTTTCTCTGTTGGTTCCTTCGCGGGGTGTCCAATGACAATTGCGCCGCCGGTAGCACCCCACATGATAATAGCACTTTGGCGTAGGATATCCTGCACAATCCGCCTAGCCTGCTCTCCTGCCTGCTCCCTCCTTCCTTCTCCTTCTCATGCTGCCTGCTCCTCCTGCCTCATTATCCTGCCTCCTCCCCATCCTGACTCCTCCTCCTCTTTCTGCATCCTCTTCCCCCTCCTCCCAATGCATGTTCCTCCCTCTCCTGTATCCTGCCTCCTGCTTTTCCTCCTTGGGCTACTTCCTCCTCTTCGTCCTCCTCCTCCTCATCCTGCTCCTCCTTCTCCTCTTCATCTTTATCATCATCATCATCAGCATCTTTCTCCTCCTCCTCATCAGTAATATCGTCATCATCCATTTCATCGTCATTATCTGTGTACTTAACATTGTCGTTATCAGTACACATCGAATACTCATCATCAGCATCATCAACAGGAGCACTATCATCATCACCAGCAACACCAGCATCATCACCACTACCAACAACACCACCATCATCATCATAATCCTCATCAGCATCATCACCATCATCGTCGTCACCATCAGCATCGTCACCATTTTCGTCGCCATCGGCATCTGCATCAGCATCAGCATCGTCATCGTCATCATCATCATCACCACCAGCAACAGCATCATCAGTATCGCCATTATTATCACTACTACTACCATCACCATCATCATCAACATCATCAGCAGCATCACATTCAACATCATCATCATCATCATCATCAACATCATCGTCGTCATCATCATCATCATCATCATCACCATCACCATCATCATCATCATCATCATCATCATCATCATCATCATCATCATCATCATCATCATCATCATCATCATCATCATCATCATCATCATCATCATCATCGACAACAGCATCAGCATCAGCATCAGCATCAGCATCAGCATCATCATCAGCATCATTATTCTCACCCTCCTACTCCTGCATTCTCTCCCACCACTTCCTCATCCTGTTTCCTCCCCCTCTTGCCCCTTCCTTCTGCCTCCTCCTTGGGGCTATTGACTTGTCTTGCGGTCTCCTGGATCCTTCTGGGGCCCCCTCCTGGCCACTCCTCCTCCTCCTCCTCCTCCTCCTCCTCCTCCTCCTCTTCGTCCTCCTCCTCCTCCTCCTCCTCCTCCCCCTCCTTGTCCTTCTCCTACCTCCTCCTCCTCCTTTTTCTCCTTCTGCTCCTCCTCCTCCTCCTGCCTCCTCCTGCCTCCTCCTCTTCTTCCTCCTCTTCTTCCTCCTCCTCCTCCTCCTCGTCCTCCGCCTTTTCCTCCTCCTCCTCCTCCTCATCCTCCTCCTCGTCTGATCACGTCACCTCGCCTGGGCATCGTTTCTGGATTGGCTGGGAGGGGTACGCGAAGCGTCAGGAGTGTGGTGGTTCGTGGTTCGTGGTTCGCGGTTCGTGGTTCGTGGTTCGTGGTTCGTGATGCTTGGTTCGTGGTTCTTGGTTCGCGGTTCGTGGTACGCGGTTGGTGGTTCGTGGTTCGTGGTGCGCGGTGTTTGGTTCGTGGTTCGCGGTGGTTGAATCTGATTGATTCACGGGCCTGGAATGTGGTGGTTTGTGGTTCGTGGTTCGTGGTCGATCACGAACCACGAACCACGGACCAAAAACCACGGATGGGATGAAATTGCGCGGCTAGTTCCAATTGCGGTTGCGCGCGGGGGCGGATTTGAATGTGTCGCCTGGTTGCGGTGGCGGTTGCGGTTGCGCGGCCGAATGAAATTGCGCGGCTGGGTTGACATGTGTCGCGTGGTTGCGGTTGCGGATGCGGTTGCGACGCATGTCAACCCAACCGCGCAACTTCAAACCGGCCGCGCAACCGTAACCGCAACCGCAACCAAACGACACATTTCAACCCGCCTGCGCGCGCAACCGCAACCGCGACCACGCGACACATGTCAACCCAACCGCGCAATTTCCACCCGCCTTCGCAACTGCAGCCGCAACCATGCGACACATTTCAACCAAAAAGCGCAATCGCAACCGCAACCGCAACCGCACCCATGCGCGCAACCGTAACCGCAATCGCAACCAGAAAACACAATCCAACCCGCCGTCGCAACCGCAACCGCAAGGGCAACCAAGCGACACACTCCAACCCGCCCTTGCAACCGCCACCGCAGCCGCAACCAAGTGACACATTTCAACCCGCACGCGCGCGCAACCGCAACCGCAACCAAACGACACGTTTCAACCCGCCCGCGCAACCGCAACCGCAACCGCAACCGCAACCGGGTGACACATCTCAACCTTCCCGCGCGCGCAACCGCAACCGCATCCACGCGACACACGTCATACCAACCACGCAATTTCAACCCGGCCGCGCAACCGCAACCGCAACCGCAACCAGACGACACATTTCAACCCAAACGCGCAATTTCAAATCGCCTTCGCAACCGCAGCCGCAACCGTGCGACACATTTCAACCCGCCCGCGCAACCGCAACCGCAACCGCAACCAAATGACACATTTCAACCCAACCGCGCAATCGCAACCACAACCGCAACCAAACGACACATTTCAACCCGGCCGCGCGCACAACCGCAACCGCAACCATGCGACACATCTCAACCCGGCGACCGCAACCAGGCGACACATTCCAACCCGCCCGCGTGCGCAACCACAACCGCAACCGAACGACACATTTCAACCCGCCCGCGCACCGCCCGCAACCGGGCGACACATTTCAACCCGGCCGCGCAGACGCAATCGCAACCAGGCCACACGTTTCATCCCAGCCACGAACGCGTGCAACCGCACCCGCCCATCGCTGGCGCGTGCTCGGCGCCCCCGCCGCGCGTCGGGGGCGCCCGCCCTGCGACGTTCTCGGGCTGCGCGAGAGGGACGGGGAAGACGACGAGGACGCTGAGCAGGAGTAGGAGGGGGAGCGGGAGCGGGAGCGGGAGGGGGAGGAGTAGGAGGAGCAGGAGGAGGAGGAGGAGGAGGAGGAAAAGGAGGAGGAGGAGGAGGAGGAGGAGGAGGAGGAGGTGAGGAGGAGGAGGAGGGAGGAGGAGGAGAGAGGAGGAGGAGGAGGGAGGAGGAGGGTGGGAGGAGGTCGAGGAGGAGGGTTAGGAGGAGGGGAGCAGGAGGAGGAGGAGGAGGCACAAGAGAAAAATGATGGGGGGAGGGGGGCCATGAAAACGAAAAAGAGGAGCAATAGGAGGAAAAGGAGAGGGAGCAGGCGAAGGAGAAGGATGATGTGGTGTAGAGGCAGGGGGACGAGGAGGAGAACGAGGAAAGGGAGGAGGAGGAGGGCCGGCACGCTGGCCAGGAGGAGGAGGACGAGGAGGAGGAGGAGGAGGACGATGGGTAGGGGGATGCATGACTGCGGGAGCTTGAGTGGGTGCAGGAGCAGGTGCCACCGGTGGAGGACGACCAATGGCGCGATGGGAAGATGGAGGGCCAGGAACCGTGAGGAGGACGAGGAGGAGGAGGAGGAGGAGGAGGAGGAGGAGGAGGAGGAGGAGGAGGAAGAGGCCGATGATGAGGAAGACGCAATGGAGGCGGTGGGCGCAGGCGATGGCAGCACACCGTCAGCAAAATGGAAAGGATGAGGACGAGGAGTATGGGGAGGAATCGGAGGAGGATGACGTGTAGGATGATTTGGGCGTAGATGTGGATGTCCTGCTCGCGGCCTCCAGGCGTTCCCCGCGGTTCTCCGCCAGAACATTGCAGCAGGGAGTCCCCTTCCACGCTGCTGCCGTTGATGGTTTTCAAACCGGAACTACGAAACAACAACGAGACATGTCTGTTGACCTACCCGCATGCTACGTATCCTTCTGTGTATTCGACGAGAAACACATATTGGGACAAATCAATTCTGCAGTCGATCCCCTACTCGACCTGAGGATCCTCGCCCCCGATCCTCGTCATCGTCCTCGATCCGCGTCATGCGTTGAAGGCGGCTGGGGGTCCGAACTGGTTGGCGCCCCAGAAATTCGGCTAGGACGGGGGTGGCGAGGCTAAATCCACAAACATCTATCCCTATGCGGCCCCCGGAGACCGAACAAGTGGAAACCTTCCCGAACCCAGAACCTCGAACCTGCCCACCCGTTCTGCTGGCTAGAACCAGTGCTGGGCCACCTCAACACCCCCAGACGGCTCCAACCTCGTCCTCGATGCTCGTCATCGTCCGCGTCCTCGATCCTCGTCGTGCAGGTGTTTTGCTCCTCGCTCCTCGACGCCGTCCTCGCCGCCGTCGCCGCCGTCCGCGGTGGGCCTCGACGCTGAGCACGCCGTCGCTGTCGCTGTCGAGGTAGCAGAACGCCAGGCGCAAAGCGTCGATCCAGACCGTCTCGGGGCGGCCGAAGTGCCCGGTCGGTCACAGACGAAGAAAGACAGCACAGACATAAACTTGTGGCGCTCCGCGCGGACTTCTTGACTTTGCGCTGGACCCCCCTCCTGTCGCGCGGAGCGCGTCAGGGGCGGCGCCGGAGGCGCCGCCAGGGGGGGCGTCAGAATCAGATTGTGCGTCGGATCGGGCCGCAGCGGCACGGAACATCGAGACAAAGACGGACCCGCCGCGCCGGGATGCACGGCGCAGCGCCGGGCGAGCAGCGGGCCGCCGGGATGCCGGAATCGAATCGGGGCGGGCCGGCCGGGATCGACGTCGACTCGGCAGGAGCGACGTCGGGGGCCCCGAGAAGCGTCGCGAACGAAAAGCGCGACCAGGGGGGGGGTCTGCACCCGATCTCGGCGCTCGGGGGCTCCTTCAGCCTCCGAGTTCGCAACGAGCCGCGGCGAGGAGCTGGCGCCGGGAGGGAGGGGAAGAAGCGGCGGAAGGCACCGACAGCGAGGCCTGCTCTCTCCTCGCCCTCCTCCTCCCCTTTCGCGCTGTGTCCCCATCGTCCGCCTCCCCCGTCCTCTCGAGCTCCTCCTCATCCTCGGCCCTCTGGCTGTTCTCCTCGTCCTCTTCTGCGGGGGAACGTTCGGGGGGAGTGGCTCAAGGGGAGAGACATCGACCTGATATCGGCGATGCATCGCCGATATGCCCCGGACCACGAATCCGCACGCTGTGAGGCCGGGTGGGGCTATCAAACATTGTTGGCGATCCATGGGCGATTGGGCTTCGATGCGTCCCCTCATTGAGCCTGCCTCCTCCCTCTGGTTTAACGTCGCCCATGTCATGATCCTCACGCCCCCCGCGTTCCTCTCTCCCTATTTCTCCTGCTCCCCCCTCCGTACTTGTGCCCTCCTCCCCACCCTGGCAGCGACGGCAATCGACGACGATAACGCCGACTCGCCGACTCCTGGAACGCAGCGGTGCCCTCGAGGGCGCCCCTCGGAAGCGCGCTCATGGGGGAAAAACAACGGTTGGGATGATCCTTCGTGGGGACCTCTGTGGACCTCCGCGGCCCAATCGCGACCGTGATGTCGATCGGATTTCGTCCAGATGTCGACCGCCCCTTCTCACCCTTTCGTCCAGATTTCGTCCAACTGTCGACAGAAACCACCACCAACAAATGAAACCCTCTGAGGCTCTCATGATGGATCACTGGGCAGATGCGGCGTTTTTGTTGTTCAGCTCTCAGTACTATTACTGTTGGTCCCTCCCCTCCGGTGACCAGTGTGGATTTTCAACTGAAGTGCTTCCCCCGGGGCTCGCACCCCGTTTCGTTATATCAAAGACATGTCACTCGGATCAAACTGCGTTGTTGGCCTGGGTCGGTTTGCCGCCGATCAGCGCTGCCGCTGGCCAGGCCGACGGACCGCGGCCGCCCCGCCGCTTGCCGGGGCCCGGCCTGCAGGGAAAAATGTTTTACCCTCCAAAAGGGTATGATTGAAGACGAAGAGGGCTGGTATCGAGGGTTTGGGCCATACACGTTGGCGGAGCGGATAAGAGCGAACAGTAGTAAACAATGATTGTTGTTGTTGTTGTTGTTGTTGTTGTTGTTGTTGTCGTTAGTGTTTCTGTGGTTGTTTTCATGTCAAAAAGCGGCGAAGGTATCTGACCAACTTTCAGCTAGGATCGGCGCGGGGACCGATAAGGCGACAGGAGGATGATCCGTATATGCGAGAAGGTGGATTATGTGTAGTCTCGCTAACTTTAGCTGTGGGTCACGCGTGCCCAAAATAAATTATACGGGTAGATTTCCGCGGCCAACGCGCGGAACCCATGTCGCCTGGTTCGTCAACCACCGTGAAACACTAGGGTCATTTATGATTCACGTATAAGCTTAGGTTGGGGCAGATCAACCCACCAGGGCATGGCAGCTGACCCCTTTTATCCCCTTAGCCTGACCGGGGACCGACCGCCCCGGGAGTCTGTAGGCCCATCACGACATACCATTATAAAAAAGGGACGGAATCACAACAGCAATGTTCTTAGAACGTGTGGCCAACGATTTAAATCAGGGCGGCCTCGACAAGAAACGTTCCAAAACTACGTCGCGCCAGTCATCACATGTTTCTTGCATATTTTTTGTGGGCTCAGGAGGAAAAAGAGGGATTTGAAGCAAGCAAGCGTGCGAAAACGATGACGACGTCAGCGGCGTCGACGATGAAACTGGCGGAGTCCTAAGCAGTGGCCGCCGCGGAGGTGGATCATCATTTTCCCAATGTTGTTTTTGGTCCCAATCCGTCACACCCTTTTTAAAGACCCATCTCAGTTAAAGGCATACCGGCTCAAAATCGGCCCCCAGACCCGTCCCGGGGCCTTCTGGTGCAATTTCGCCCCGAATCCGTTTTTGCCGGTCCTGGGGCCCGAAAACGACCCTCAGAGACTTCCCGAACCCCGAACCCCGAACCTCGCCCCCCCTCCTGCTCGATGGAACCACTGCTGACCCACCTCGTATCCCCAGCCAGCCTCAACCATCTGGCTTAACACGTTTCTTTCCCCTCTCTTCCTCGCCCCTGCGAGCGCGCGCTGGCAGGAGGGAAGGGGCCGTGCCTATAGCTCCTTGTGCCCAGGCCAGTCTGGCGAGGCTGCGTGGCCGCCGAAAACTCACGCGGCGAGCGTGCAGAACTGGAGCTGTCAACACCGCAGGTCGGAGACTCGTCACTTGCGCTGTGCACTACTCGTCCCCTTCGGTCAACGTGGCCAAGTGTGCGCGGCATACCCGAATAGAAGAGCAATACACGGCATACACACACATACGTAGAATGTAGGTGCTCCGCGCGGATTTCTTGGATCTGCGCTGGACCCTCCTCTCTGGCGCGCGGAACGCGCCAGGGGCGGCGCCAGAGGCGCGTCGCCAGGGGGCTCAGCGCAGATTCACAACATCTGCGCGGAGCCCGAACGTTTATGCTTATGCCATGTTTGTTCCACGACCAAACGCAACTATGTTGGCGTCTACGACCGTCGCCGACGATCGGTCCCGATCGATCTTGGATCGCCGATGACCGACGACCGACACTCGACCACCGACGATCGATCTTCGATCGCTGAAGATCGACGATCGATCTTCGATCTTCGATCACCGACGCTCTCCGACGATCGATCTGCGATCTTCGACGATCGACGATCGCCGATGACTGACGACTGTTTTTTGTATTGCCATTTTTCTCGCAGGATGATCCAGGATGCTGCTCGATGGCTAGAGGCCTCCAAACTGGGGCCCGAGTAAGTGGGGCCCGAGGATTGCGCTGCATCGTCGGTGCATCGGCGATGCATCGCCAATGCACGGGCGATGCGTCGGCGACGTCGGCGATGCGGCGCGATCCTCCGACCCCAGCTGCTCCGTCCCCATCCAGGAGGCCCAGCATGGCCCCCGCCGAGACACCTGCACACGTCCGGGCGATGCCAAGACGATCGGCTTCCGACCGCCGACGGCCGACGACTCCGACGACCCCCGCGGCGGTCGGCGGCCGACTTGCCCACCGCCGCGCTCGGCGGCACGAGCCGCGGCCAGGGCACGGGAGGCCCGCCTTCCTCCTCCTCCTCCTCCTCCTCCTCCTCCTCCTCCTCCTCCTTCCCCTCCAACTCCTCCTTCCCCTCCAACTCCTCCTTCTCCTCCTCCTCCCCCTCCAACTCCTCCCCTCCCCCTCCTAATCCTCCTCCTCCTCACCATTCCCCTCCTCCTCCTCCTCCTCCTCCTCCTCCTCCTCCTCCTCCTCCTCCTCCTCCTCCTCCTCTTCCTCCTCCTCCCTCCTCCTCCTCCTCCTCCTCCTCCTCCTCCTCCTCCTCCTCCTCCTCCTCCTCCTCCTCCTCCTCCCCCTCGTCCTCCTGCCCCTCGCCCTCCCCTTCACCCTTGTCGGCACGAGCGGCGGCACGAGGCCCGCCTTCCTCTGGAACCACGAGGGCTGCGCCACGGCAGCAATCTGTGCGCGCGCCGCGCGCCGCGCGCGCGAGGAGGGACTCTGTCAAAGGAGGGGAAGGTATACCCATAGTGCTACCCTGCGGTCGTTTTCGCCTCTTGGGGCCTCCTGGGAGGCCCTCGTCGCCATCGCTGGATTCGCCTCGGAATCCTGGTCAGAACGCGCCCCGGGAGAGGTTCGGTGAGTAGCGGTACTTGTGCCCAGACATGACCCTGCCCTGAGACCCTGGATTCACAACTCGTTCAGCGGGCGATTTTTGTCCCGCTTCGGGCCCTGGAACCACCACACGGCGATCCGGTTCGCGAAAAGTGGCAGAAAGATGGGGTCTAGGGCTCCGGTCGTGACTTTCGCGAAACTGCTCTGTGTTTCGCAACGCCGGATCTCGGGCGACTCCTTCCCTCCCCCCCATAACGCGACGGTTCGCGCTGGGGCCGTCTGGGAATGGCTCTGGCTCTTGCTAGCTTAGAGGAAGAAAGGCGCCGTACGCAAACTTTCGATAGTCCGCGCGGATCTCTTGGATCTGCGCTGCACTCATCGCGCCAGGGAGGAAGGTCCAGCGCAGATCCAAGAATTCTGCGCGGACCGTTGAACATTCGCAGAGGACTCCCTCACGCATCGCCGACGCCTGCGACGCATCGGCGCCGTCGGCGTGGAGGACATCGGGCTCCACATCCAGCCGCATCGCCGATCCGTCGGCGATGCGGCGCGATCCTACGACCCACCTGGGAGGCCTAGAGTCAGGCAAGGCCTCTGGGGATCTCCGGCGACACCAGGGAGCGGCATCGGCGCCGCGCGCGGCCAACGCGCGCGCGCCCGAGGAGAGACAGAGGGACGCGGGGGTGGGTGCGCGCAAGACGTGGCCCGTGGAGGTCGAGTGCTGGCACGAAGAAAGCGGGCACCGCCGCGCGCCCGCTTGGGGAGGGGGCAGGGGGGAAGCGGGGATGGGCAGAACCCCCTTGAGTAAAACGTGGTTGAATGAAAACGACCTCGGGCCCAAACCTGGCGGGCGCAAGCCTGAACAATGACGGCCGCGGCGCCCTCTCGAGAACCGGAAACGAACAACTCACAAGCCGGCGTGTCGGGGTGGGGGCTCTGCTCACCCCCGAGGGAAGGGGGGGCACGACGTGGCCCGTGGATGCCGAAGGTAAGCATGAACGAGACAACAATCGCGGAGGACGGGCGCTGTGTTTCGGGCTCCTCCGAGCCCTCCAATGGCGTCCCCGGAGCCGCCAAGAGAGCGACTGACTCGGGATGACGAGCTGGTTCCGGGGAGCGCCCCGAGGTCCAGGGGGACCCGTTCCCAGACGTCCGACGATGTGGTTTGGTCCATGCGCGGCCCCAAGAGGGCCCGACCTTTCCCCGCGGGCAGGGTTTTTGCCCCGGGGCCCGCTGCCTGGCCCCATGAGGCCGAATCCGATGAAAAGCGCCGGGACCGTTGGGTTCTGGGCGTCCCTCCGCATACACCAAGTCGTCTGGTCGGCCAAGGAGCTCGGCGTACAGTCGCCTCAGCTTCCCAACCCTTGGCCGCCCACACGACGTGGTATGCCTCGAGCCCCTCCCACTTAAGGAAACCTTTCTTTGGTGGCGAAGGGGGCAACCATGACGAGCGAAGACACACCCATACCCGCAGGGGGGGCGGGGAGAGTAATGGGCGCGTGTTGTTGCAAGAATGGTCCCCACTCGAACAGGAGCTTCCCATGGGGTCCGGCAATGCGCACCCGCGCCCTTAACCAGTGCTCCACCGACGGCCCACCCATGGTTAGCTCGGGCGTGTCCTCCCACCGGCGGGTTTTGGAGGAAAAACTCAAATATTTGAAACATGTTCGAAAATGGTCTAAACAAAGATGGGAAACATCGTCCCCAAACTATTTTTGACTACTTTTGAGTCTTGTTCTGTAGAGCGACGCGCCAGTGGGGCGCTCCGACGGCGTCCCGGAACGCTCTCGGGGAGGAGTTTTTGCTTAAGAGGGGGCTCAGGAACACACAAATCAATACACGCAGATCCCCAAATCCCCCAGATGTTTCATATTTTTGAGATTCTCGTCTTCTCCCCCCCACTTCCCATATTTTCCACATCTTCTGGGGAATCGACGACTACCTGTGCCTGTGTGTTATGTTGCTTCCATCGTACTTATGGACCACGTCCCAGAAATAATTTCGAGCAGCCGGAAAGGTATCGAAAAAGTGTCGAACGAGCATCGCCTCCCAGGGCCCGACACGTGACGTCCCTCCAATTTCGTTGCTTTCTGGGTGCTCGAAATTCTTTCGGGTGGTCAAGGCTAAAGCAGGTAAGACCATCCTAGTCGGTGTATGTCTGTTTCCCCTTCCTTCAGCCTTCTCTGTGTGCCTGCCCGGGGCAGAGGGCGCTGGGCACTGGCACCCTGCTCGGACGGCTTGCCCCCGCTGCCTCCTAGACCCCCCACCCCACCCTGTCGGGAAAAACGAGGAACAACGACAGGGTTGTGTGTTGCTCTCGTCGTACTTAAGGACCACATCCCAGAAATAGTTTCGAGCACCCGGAAAAGTGTCGAAACAATGTCGGGCAAGTGTCTCCCAGGACCCGACACGTGAAAACCTTCGAGTTTCGGTGCATTTTCTGGTGCTCGAAATTCTTTCTGGTGGCCGAGGCTAAAGTGGGTTGGAACATCATAAGACAGGGGGGAAGTGAGGAGTAAGGCCAACATTGGGAGTTACCTCGCATGAGGTGGTAGTGCGAAATTTCGTGGCCACCAGGAACACTGAAGCGGCATCACCCCGGGTTCCCAACACATGCCGTCGGCCCAAATTCGCATGACAGAAGACCCGCAATGTGCAAAACCCGCCTGCACAGAACTTGTCGGGCGCCAGCCTAGCTGCATGCAGCTCGGTTGGCGCAGAACTAGCTACATGCAGCACTGCTCCTCCTCCTCCTCCTCCTCCTTCTCCTCCTCCTCCTCGTCCTCCTCCTCGTCGTTGTCGTCGTCGTCGTCCTCCTCCTCCTGAAGATCCTAGGTGACGACGGCGGCGGCGGCGGCGAAGACGGCGGCGACGACGACCCGCCGCAGCCGGTACCTCCCCACCGACAGCCCAATGAAGGCAACTGTGCGCCCCTCCCACGGACTGGCCCTCTACCTCCACAAAGAAATTCGCCAGCCCAACGGGCCAGAGGCGTGCTACGATCTTCGGCCAGCAGGCACTAAGAGGCCCCCACGAGGCCCAACGGGCCCCAGGAGGCCCAAACGAGGCCCCACAACAGCCCCGCAAAGGCCTCAGAACTACCCCCAGGAGGCCCCCGTCAGGCGTCGACGAGATCCCGACGAACATCCGAGGCCTCAGACCCACCACCCAGGCACGTTGGCGGAATGGGCCGAAGGCCATTTCACATGGGCCAGCGGAATGAGCGAAGCGATGCGATAACAACACGCATATTGTGCTTCGAGGGATCCCCACCCGAGGACGCGAGGCGAGATACCCAGGGAGCGCTATCACTCCTTGGGCCTGGCGGGCGCGGTATGCAAGCTGCGCGAGGCGGGCCAGGAGCTCTGGCTCTTGAAATCTGCTCACCCCCGGCGGCCGGCCCTCCCACTCGGGGTTCCGCGGAGGAGGGACGAGGAGTAGGAGGAGGAGGAGGGAGGAGGAGGAGGGAGGAGGAGGAGGAGGAGGAGGAGGAGGAGGAGGAGGAGGAGGAGGGACATGAATGCAAACTTTCGGAGGTCCGCTCGGGCTTCCGGGATCGGCGCTGGGCCTCCCGTGGCGGCGCCTCCGGCGCCGCCCCACGGCGCGCTCCGCACGCCAGGGAAGGGGGTCCAGCGCCGATCCGAAAAGTCCACGCGGAGCCCCCGACATTCTATGCTGCCGCTCTTGCCGCGGAAGAGCTTCCCTCGACAGTAGGAGCTCGACCGCAAGACACCTTCCACAAGAAACCCAACCCCGAGACCCCATGCCGTCCATTGACTTTTGGTGTGGGAGCGTCACGCCTTCCACAGCAAAAGCACCGAAGTCCAAGGAATCCAAGGCCCCCCTGAGACAAGCAGGGTGTTGCTTGGTATGGGCCTCCACTGTACCCTCTTGCACCCGAGGAACTTTCCTTTCAGTGTTCTGTGCTTCTCGCGCCAAACCATGGGGCCAAGGCCCCCGAAAAGTTGGCAACCCTCCACGGCACTCATCGTGGCCCCACCACGGTTGAGCTGTGTAAAGCTGTTCCGGGCGCTCTGCCGCAAAGGTGCCGCTTTCCCTCCTCAGAGACAAGCGCGCTCCGCTACTCGCAGAGTAAATACTGCTCGCAGGTGGCCTGGATCTGCCGCGGGGGATTCACGAACCATCACGGCGAGGCAAGCATGTTTTTTCAGACGTTTGTGAGTAGGCACGTTGTGAAGGGGAGGGGGTGGGGAAGGAACAGGAGGAGGAGGAGGAAGAGGAGGAGGGAGGAGGAGGAAGAGGAGGAGGAGGAGGGAGGAGGAGGAGGGAGGAGGAGGAGGAGGAGGAGGAGGAGGAGGAGGAGGAGGAGGAGCTGCGCGGCGGCGGCCGTTGCGCGGGTCACGCCCTGGCGACACCTCTGCCGCGCAGAAATGTGCGGAGGGTGGTGCCTCCACGTCTGGGCTGTGGGGGGGCCATCGGCACCCTCAGGGAGGGTGCCTCGACCCAGACCCCCGGCGTCATGATTTTTCATCTTGGCGTCGACCCCCAAAGGTCTCGACCCCTTCCTGGGGACTGATTCTCCATCCTGAGCCGTTTTTTCACGGTCCCGAGGCCTGGTGAGGACCCCCGGAGGACGAAAGCGACAAAACACCTCCCGTCGTGATCTTTTCGTGACTCGAGGGGATCTGATTCCACCCTGGGTTGTGGAGGGGCCATCGGCACCCTCAACTCTGGTTTGTGGAGGGGCCGATGGGGCCGATGGCCCATCCGCAACCCAAATGTGGGAAGCTCAGAGGTTGGCACCAACACCCATTATCGGACGTTGCCTCCGCCCATGGAACACGATCCGGTCTCGGTGAAAGTGGTATGGTGCGGGCTTCTAGGGTGGCCGACATTTTTCAGTCGGCCCGTATCATGAGGACGCGCGATAAGGATGCAAGGGCCTTGGGCGCCTATTTCGAAGCTCTTCGAGCGGGGCGCGGCCAACGAAAATGGCCAAGGATGGACCGAGGAGGCAAGGATGCAATGGTACCCCGAGTTTTTTGATAAGCGTCGGCGGGGCGTCACCCCCGCCGACAGCCCCACATCGACCCCCGTCGCGGGCAGCCACCGTGCGCCGAAGGCGCTGCGACCCCCGTCGCGGCGCGACGACGTGGCGAGGTTGACCCCCGTCGGGGGGTTCCCCCCCCAAGCTCAATAAGAAACCCAGAGTGCCCTTGGGAAGGGTGCCAATCCTTACCATGCGGGTCGACTGTACGAAGCGGGCTTCTAGGGTGGCCGAAGTGTTACCACCAACACCAACCATTGTGGTCATCCCCCTGTCTCGGTGCTCGTGCCAATCTCCACAACAGCTGGTCCGCCCCACCAGCAAGCTGGTCCGCCCCACCAGCAAGCAAGTGGCTTGATGCGCGGGCCTGCTACGAGATGAGTATCTGGGGTGCACGCAGGCAAGCGCCGATGCACGCCCGGGGCGGGGCGGCACTCTAAGAGCTCGGCGGGGGCGCCGGAGCACCGAGTCCGAGGTGTCGCAGTACATGATTATTTTACGATCCGGAATTTGCATCATTGACTCCACTGACGCAAGTCTTCCTATGGGGAACGTTCCTCCCTGAGCCCTGAGCGGACTGCATCATTTGTTCCATGGTAAAGTATTTGCCGCGCGACGTCGACCCCAATCGGCCCACGCCACCCGCCGCAAAAACCAGACCACCAGCCCACGGGCGCGGACAGGTTGACATTGCCCCCGTGCGGGGGCACCCTCCCTGCGCTTGTTACCAGATGTAAAATAGATAGGGTTGGTGGGAGGTAAGCGCCGCAGCAGTGTACTCAGGTGTCGTGGGGCTCTCCACTGGGGCGGCGGCGATCGGAGAGGGCGGCGGCGGCCGACGATTCCCCACAGGGCTCAGGCGCCAGGCGGGGGCCTCCACCGCCAGCTGGTGGAGGTAACTGTGCGAGCTCATCCGCTGCTGGACGATGAACATCTGGAATGCCCGCAACTGGCGGGTGTGGCGCTGCGTTTCTTGGCAGGCCCCTTTGATGGGGTCCGAGCAGATGTGGTCGGAGGATCGCGCCACATCGCCGAGGCATCGGCGCCGTCGGCGTGGAGAAACTCTGGCTCCACATCGAGCCGCAACGGCGATGCATCGGCGGTGCGGTGCGACCCTCTGACCCCATCTGCACGAACCCCAGCTGGGAGACCTACCCTGGATGGGGCAATAATCGTCCCCCCTTGGATCCGCTGGGGGGGTGGTTGGGCACGTGCTGTCGGAACGGGTGGAGGGGGGGTTGGAGGAGGAGGAGGAGGAGGAGGAGGAGGAGGAGGAGGAGGAGGAGGAGGAGGAGGAAGGGGAGGAGGAGGAGGAGGAGGAGGAGGAGGAGGAGAAGTGTAAACCCAAGAGTCATCGATGATGTTGGAGTAAACCCTCCCGCCAAGCTACCTCATCATAGGCCGCTACAACGATTCATTTCCAGTGATGGAACTGCCTCTTTGGAAGCCACCCCTTTGAAGACCCTGAAGCATGCTAAAACACTGTTCTTGGGATTCCAACACATAAGATCGACCTGACTGTTGCGTCTTGGCGATCCTGAACCGTGCCAGAACGCCATTCCTAGGACTTCAACACAGCGAATTAACGTAACTGCTGCAAACGCATAATATTAAATCCTTCTAAGAAACACAAATTCTGGTACGGTGATGGAAACCCGTGAAACTCTTGGAACTATTTAAACGAATATGCGCGGCGCTGAGGCGAGAACCACATTTTGAAAAAGAACGAATGTGCACGGCGCTGAGGCGAGAAACACATTTTGAAAACCACTCGCCCTCAATCCGTGAAACTCTTGCAAATATTGGAAACGAATGTGCGCGGCGCTAATGCGAGGACCACATTTTGAAAACCACTCGCCCTCAATCCGTGAAGCTCTTGCAAATGTTTTTACACCACAGAAAAACCCAATCAGCGGACGGTTTCAGCTCAGATCGACCGGGAGCCCGGGAGCCCAGGAATCCCGAACCCACAGAAATCGGCCGGGAACCAATAATAACTGGGAACCCAGGAACCCGGAACAGGGAACCCAGCCTGCTACCCAAATCGGCGGGAAACTTTCCCCAAATCATTCAACTTCTGCTGGGACCCCTCCAGTGCAAGCACTGATTGGGGAAAAACGAAAGAGCGCGGCGCTAAGGCGAGAACCACATTCTGAAAATCACTCGCCCTCAATCCGTGAAACTCTTGCGAATTTTTGAACGAAAACGCGCGGCGCTAAGGCGAGAACCACATGTTGAAAATTACCCGCCCTCAATCCGTGAAACTCTTGCAAATGTTTGAAATGAAAATGCGCCGCGCTAAAGCGAGAACCACAATTTGAAAACGACCCGCCCTCCATCCGTGAAACTCTTGCAAATTGTTAGAACGAATGTGCACCGCGCCAAGGCGATCACCACATTTTGAAAACCACCCGCCGTCAATCCGTGAAACTGTTGCCAATGTTTAGGCTTCAGAATCATAAATGGTGAAGAAGTCTCAGGCGAAACGCCCGGCCCGCCCTAAAAACTAGCCTCGGGGTGCGGCAGGGAGAAGTTACTTATAAGGAAAAGGAATGGAGGAGGAGGAGGAGGAGGAGGAGGGGGAGGGGGGAGGAAGGGGGGGGGGACATGGGCAAGCTCCGTCGGAAGGTTAGTCGCCCACCCCTCGATGACTAGCCCACCGCGAGTGAAGCTTCTCCCCAAATCGAGGGAGGGTCGGAACTTCTGGGCGCTTCTCGGGCCCTTTGGGCCTTGCCGTGGCCACGGGAACCCTCCGCTCCAACGAGGCCCCAGCTCCTCCTCCTCCCTCCTCCTTCTCCTCCTCCTCCTCCTCCCTCCTCCTCTTCCTCCTCCCTCCTCCTCCTCCTTCTCCTCCTCCTCCTCCTCCTTCTCCTCCCTCCTCCTCCTCCTCCTCCTCCTCCTCCTCCTCCTCCTCGTGGCCACGACCAAGTGGAACGATCTGGTTAAGGCCACAAGAAAGGCCGAATGCCATGCACAGAGACCGTGTACTTTTCGAAAGAGCAAGTGCGCGCACACCGAACAAGCCAGAACCACATCACACGTGGAACAAAACACTGCGCACGACGGATTACACAACGCTAATCGCTTGCACACCGCTTGGGGTTTACCAAACCGTCTCTTTGATAAAGAACCGTTCCAAAATAGGCGCAACCCATAAGCCAGTCATCCCATAAACCAATCAACGCTTAGTTCTCGAGATCCTGGTCAATAGCATTTGCGCTGTCAACTGGGTTTCGCGTCCTCAAGAAGGGCTCGAATAGCCAATAGTGGCCCAAGAGAAGCCCAAGGCCCTAGAGGGATCCAAGACGACCCCGAGAGCGCTCCAAGAGCGTTCAAATAGGGCCCCAACATATATAAGCTGTGGGGCACAAGAAAAGCGAATAGAAGAACGAACGACTGCATGAACATCAACTTTCGGAGGTCCGCGCGAATTTCTTGGATCTGCGCTGTACCCCCCTTGCTGGCGCGCGGAGCGCGAAAGGGCGGCACCGAAACACAAAATCCGCGCGGACCTCCGAATGCGTATGCTTATGCAACCTGCGTTTCTTCAAGCGAAGCTAATCCGCACTGCCACCCTTGGCTAAAACCCGAAACGTTCGAACGGGCGCATGTTCTCGACAGCTGTTGGCACCTCGGGGGCATTCTGTGGAAGACTGTCGTGCCCAAGATGGCTCGTGTCCTCCATGCTACCTGCATTCGGCCCTATGACTGCCGTGATGCAGTTCGAAGTGCTCATGGCCCCTAAAAGGCGGCCAACATCCTTCCCAAATCTGAGGGGACTCAATCACATCTGCCATCTCGCCCTTTCGCGTACGAGGGGCCTCCGAAGCCCCAAGCTGGCCCCAAGATCGACAAAGAGAAGCCCTGCATAGATCCAATACGGCCCTCAGAGCCACAATGAATGCATCAACAGTGTTCCGAGAAGCGACCTTTCAGGCCCAAGAGGGGCACCCCGGCAAACCTAATTGAGGACGCCCCCTCTTTAAACGATGCCCTCGAAGAACGCACAAAGAAGACCGCAAGGCCCTCAACGGGGCCCCAACAGTGCACTGGCAGCTCCCAAAACGACCTCAAGAGGACTTCAGTATTGTTCCACAAGACTTCGAAAAGAAACTCTGAGAACGAAAGACCCACGAAGGTCTTCATGGTGGACTGCTCCCGTCGTTGTCGTCGTCCTCCTCCTCCTCTTTTTCCTTGTTTTCCTCCTCCTCCTCCTTCTCTGCCTCCTCCTCCTCCTCCCCGTCCTCTGAGGATCAACTAGAAGGGGGACTGGCATAGGGGCGGGACATCGACCTGGAATCGGCGATACATCGCCGATAGATCAGCGATGGGCCCCGATAGCGAATCCGCACCTTCGTGGGCGGGGTGGGGCTATCAGACCCCTATCGGCGATGAATGGGCGATTGGAGGTCGATGGTCGAACCACCCCACCCTATGCCCATTACCCCCCCCATCGTTGCCTCCGATCCTCGTCAATGCCGTCTTCGTCGAAATAATTATCCTCCTTCTCTCATTTCTCCTCCTTCTCCTTGTCCTCCTTCTCCCATTTCTCCTCCGATTTCTCATCCTTTCTCAATGTATCCTCCTTCTCCTTCGATTTCTTCTCGATTTCTCCTCCCTCTCCACTTTCTCTTCCTCCTCCTCCTGCTTCTTCGACGACAAACTCAACAATTGCACTACCGGGCACGCTCAGGCTGATTCCGAGCTCGGCTGACTCACCTATCTCTTCTACTAGATGCTCCTACACTTCCCTAAGTAAAACAACTCGCTATACAACCATTTCTTGATGGGATGGATGGGATACGAGAAGCGTCGCGACCATGAGTGTGCCTGCGTGCGAGTAGCTCTGAATATGAATATCAATGTGAACGAGTTGTTTTATGAATCAGAATCCACGTCTTCTGAAAATGAATGATCTTGACAATGAGCGAACGGAATCTGCGTGAATCTGGCTCTGAGGGGATCTGAATTTGACAATGTTAATGCAAGCGAAACTGAGCCGGCATGAATCTGAGTGTTAACGAGCCGGAGTGTGAGTGGGCCTGAGCATAAGCGAGCCTGAGAGGGAGGGTGCACGAGTAAGGCGAGGGTAAGGCGGAGGGGTCCCGCTGACAGCAAGAACCCTGCACAGGATATCAGGAACATGCGACGGCTATTTTTCTCGTACCCTCGGGCTCTACGAGCCGCCTTCGAGCCCCAAGACTACGATTAAGTCGGGCCTGTCCCCCTACAGGGGAATCGTGAACGAAAACCAAAAACCAGTCGAAAGATACCCCCAAACACCAAAATGGCCAAGAAGTGCTCCACGAATCGTCCCCAGGACTATTTTTGTAGTATTTTTGAATACCCCTGCTGTGGAGGGACAGGCCCGACTTACGACTGCGATTGGGTCGGGCATGTCCCCCTACAGAGGGATTTTTGGACGAACAAATAAACATACCCCCAAAAAAGCCCAGAAGATGCCCAATCATACATACAAAAATAGAGTCCCCAGACTACTTTTTGACTATGCTGGAATACCCCTCCTGTGGAGGGACAGGCCCGACTTACGACTGCGAGGCCGGGGGACCGCCTCCGGCGGCGCCCAAACCTCTTGCCGTGCCCCTGGCGCCGGCGGCGCCCGAGCGCCAGCGCCGGCGCAGAAACCCGGGCGTCGGGCGCCCAGGGGCGCTGCTGCCCTGGGGGGTTGAATGCGGGCCCGCTGCAGCCCCAAGGCAAAACACACCCCTTTGTGCCACACCCCTTTCCGATCTCCAGATGCTCGCGGTGGCCGAAGGGGGCACCCCAGGGCGCCTTCGCGAATGGCCGTCCTGGCCTGTGACCCTGGACAATCGCAGCAGCCTGTGCAAACACAGACACACACACACGCAAACACACGCACACACACACACGCACACACACAACACACAACACAGACACAACACATAACACAAC